TTCCTCTGCCGTCAAAGGCTTGCTCTCCTCATCGTCGGAGTCCACTGCTGCCATTTCCACATCCTCCTCATAGACGATCACATCCTCGGTCGGCGAGTACAGTGCTCCAACATATACTCCGCCCACGCGTGCCCTCTTTTCTGGGTTTTCATCATCTCCACCAGGCCAGGCACGTCTTGCAGAAACCTTGATCTCCATGGGGGACTTGTCGATGACTTGTTCAGTCTCCATCGCCTCCTGAGAGGGCTCCACATTGGCAGGCTTCTCGCTGATGAGGATGGGTTCGTCATTCCGTCCACTGCCGGACGATGGCCCGCCTTGATTGAGTGTTGGCTCTGTCGGCTCTTCCTCAAAGGTCTTGATCTTGGCCTTCTTCTCATCAGTCTCAGCTTCCGTTGGAACTGCACTTGGGGTCATCGGCATGATTGCCTCAATCTTCCTCTTGGGACGTCCAATGGTGGTTCCTTGGTCCCAAGGTACCCCAATCATGGCCTCCAACAGGTCTCGGTCATGGGCTTTGGCGCTGTCGGCGAATCTCCTCACTGATCTTGCTGACACGGTGCCGTCAGGCGTTCCCAGGAGGTACTCGTTGCTGGTCACACTCCTGCCGAGGTAGATTCCCTTTGCCCATGCCGTCTCACCTTTGGTGATCACATTTCTCCCATGCGCCCTTCTGGCCTTACTCATGGGGGTCTTGAAGAGGACTGTCTCCGCGAATGGGATGAGAGGTGACGTGTACTGGCAGTCAAAGGCATCCTGGTATGCCGTGCGCTGGTTCGACTTGACTGCATAGCGGCATCTGATGAATGAGCAGTAGCGCACCAACCAGGGCCATAGGTTGTGGGATGTATGCAATGTGATGCCATACTCCGCTTCGACTGCATACCTCAAAGTCAGGACATCTCCACGAAGCAATTTCTGGAATGCCCCCATCGTTCCAAGGCTCTGTGAACTATACCTTGGAACCTCCTCGAAGATGATCTTCAATCCAGCAGCTCCGGGTGCTTCACCCTTCCTCAAGGCCTCAGCGATCTGGCCCTTCACTTTCTTGATCGCTGGTTCGTTGTCTGATCTCAGCTTCACTGTGTCATACCCCAGCTGGGCGATGAAGGATGTGATGACCTTCACCACGTAGGGGATGCCCAAGTTCTTGGCTGGGATGCTGAAGGCCAGTCCCATGCCAGTGCCAGTGTCAACCACTGACAGCACTGTGTCACTGCACTCCTCGAACTTGTCGGCCAGGCTGGCGTCGGTCTTCAAGAAGCTGTAGTCAAGCTCGAAGTGGTTGTCAGACAGCTTCTGCTCCAAGGTCCTTCGCTTGTGAGCAATCTCCACGCCATGGCCTCGGGTGCAGAATTCACACCAGGGTTGTGGTGGCAGATGTGTCAAAGCATGCTGCCTCATCTCCTCATCACTGGGGATCACCGGCTTTGGAAGCTCTTGAACTTCAGCTCCACGCCCTTCTCGCAAGGCTTGCTGCCTCTCGCTATGCTTCTCCACATAGTCTCTTGCTGAGGCTCTTCGTGCATTCAATGCAGCTTCTGCTTTCTTCAGCCTTGTCCACAGGGTGTGCTTGTTGCCATAGATAGGCTCATCCAACTCTTTGAGTCGGGCTCGAAGATCTGCCACCTTGCTCCACCCATGCAGCTTCTGTCGGTCTGCACGAGCATGGGCTTCATCACGAGCAAATTCCTCAGGCAGTGGGATCATCTCAATCCCTTCTTCATCTTCGTCCACACCGGCGAACTCCCAGTCATACTGGTCACCTTGACTCACCACCGGTGCCACAGTGGCATCAACCTTCATGTCATACGGCACGGCCTCATCATCCACAATCTTGATGTAGTAGGAGTTCCTGTGGATGTAGAGAGGAATCCTGAATGAGATGTCAGGATGGCTGAGGTATGGCTTGAACTTGTTCCTCATGTCAGCCACAAATCCATTCTTGCTCATCTTGCCAGCTGAGAGCACGTCCTTGCTGGCTTGCTGACTCACCTTGAACTCCGTGATGGCGTTCAGGAAGTTGCCATTCTCGCCCACAATCTTGTAGCTCACTCGCTTCTTTCCGAGTTTTCCCAAGCTCTTCCCAGAAATCCCTAGCAGCTCAGCTCGGCACTCTTCGGTGTGCTGGTCGCCTCCGAACACAGGTTGGCAGAGGTGTTCATCACTGCCAGAGTCCCAAAGAAGGTACTTCACGGAGGTGCCGCTAGGCTGGGAGATGTTCATGTGGTGCCATTCGCTCACCTGCTTGTTGGCCTTGTGGATCATCATCACCCACATCTCATCACTGTACTCGTCCTCGATGTCATAGGCGTCGGCCCATGCCTTCCTCTCGTCATTGTCGGGGTCAATCCAGTAGTAGACAGCATTGGTGCTGCTGCCTGGTGCTCCCTGAGGTGATGGTGGTGCAGCTGAACCACTCGGTGCTGCCTGCACTGCATTCGTGCTGTTCTTGCCTTTGCCCTTGTCACCATCACGTCGTGCTCGATCTCGGACCAAAGTGCGGCAGTCTGCCTTCTTGTGGCCCCATTTTCCACAATAAGAGCACTCGCCATTGAACTTCTTCGTGATGGGTGCTTTGCCTTTTCCCTGCTTGTCGTATTTTCCACCTTTGTTGACTCCTTTGTCTCCTTTGCTTGACTTGCCCTTCTTGCCCTTCTCTGCATGGGACACTGCTCCCACATCCATAGGTGCCAAGCCACCATCGTCCTTGGCCAGCGCGCCACCAGACTTGTAGATGTTGCCAGTCTGCAGGTAGTCCCGGATGAACTTCTTTGCTCTCTCATAGTTTGTGCCGATTTGCGTTCCAGCAGCTCTCATGGCATCTTTCACCGGGCTCGGAACATGCTTCATCAACACGGCAACTCGCATGGACTCAGAGACCGTCTCCTTGGACTGCATCTCATAGCGCCTCACCAGCACTTCCCATGACTCGATCGTCTCAAGGATCTCGGACTCCTTAATGTTCTTCCAGTCGGGCGCAATGATGGCCGTGAGCATCGCCATGTGGCGTCCTCCCACTGGTGGTTCATAGGCATCACACAATGCCTTCCAGGCTTGGAACCCATTCTGGCCCTCCACGTTCATCAGGATCTGGAGAGCTCTGCCGTCGACGCTCTGGGTGAGCAGGTTGAAGAGCACAGTCGACAATTCCTGAGCTGTGTCACTCATATCGATCATGGACAGCTCGTTCTGCGAGGCGGCATTCTCAGCAGCTTCCAGCATGCCTCGGTAAGCACGGTCAAGTAGGTGCACGTAGCCCCGTGCAACAAACACCCAAGCCGGCCAATCTTCATCCTTTCCACTGAATGCTCGAAGCTTCCCGATGGCTTTCGTGTCGATGAGCCGCGGACCAGGAACTGGCTGAGGTAGTAGCGGATGTGGTTGGGATGTAGGCGACTCAAAGCCATCAGCCGCAGCAGCCGCCATGTCGAAGGCATGAGGCGGCGTCACAGGCGCTGCCATGTGCGATGCTTGCCACCCGGCCCAGGGATTTACGCCGTGCCCACACCACGAGATTTCACGTGGATTTACAGGGTGCCCACCTCACCGCCGCCACGAGGGCCTTACGCCGGTTTCACAGGGGGTCAGGAGCGGGAGCCCAACCAGGGCTCCGCTACCATGCAAAGCGTGGCGCCCCTTTTCCAAGACCTCAAAAGGGCTGCATATGTACGTGTACAAAGTGTATGTTCTAGCCTGCATTGCCCCCATTCAGATTGACAGCATCAAATTAAGCTTTCAGGGCTTGCTCCACTCGCTCTTTGAACGGGTTCGTGGAACAGGGCCCTTTGCCGATAAAGCGTCGTTTCTTGAGCTCTGAAACACTGAGATCACACAGAAGCTGAGCTCGCTTCAACGAGTTTGCCCAGGCCAACCGGGCTTCAGCCATCTGCGGCTTTTGCCCTTCAGTGTTTGCGTTTTGCAAAAAGTCTTGGATAAACTGGGCCTGGATCTTTTGATATTCACCAGGGACATAAACAGTGGGAGTGGGAGATTCAATTTCTCTGGGCTTCGCCTCCGATGGAGCTGGAAGTACCGCTTTGGTTTTCTTCTTTTTCAATTTCTTTTTTCCAGGCTTCTTCTTTTTTCCACCCTCACCCTTCCCAGGGTCAGTCACCACCTGCGACTTCTTGTACTGCGCTGACACTGGAAAAGCTACAGCAGGTTGACCCTTCCCTTGCTTCAACTTCTCCTCCAAAGATGCTACAACCTCGGTCCAGCGTAGAAAGTTTGAGCCATAGGTGAAACGGCAGAGACCCACAAACATATCCATTAATATTATTGAGTGAAGTTCCTTTCAAGGGCCACGATATATATATATATATATACATCTCTCTCTCTCTTTATTTAGTACATTAGCTTTTTGGGGGGGCTTTTGGGGTCAGTCTCCAGGAGGAAAGGGTCAACATCAACCACCACAATCAGAAACGGACCGGATATGGAAAGGCTTGCTAAAATATGTTCTGCGAAACAAAATCCGGCAACAAAGCCGGTTGGTCTGTGGCTTACCCTGACAAACCACCACAGGCTTCTGCTCAGTGTTGTTGTCACCGTCAGTCTTCCTTGAACCTACCTGTAGCTTCCTCAAATGTGCAATGACTTCCTGTACCCTCGGTGATGGTGTTGAAGAACACGCAGATGGGGATGATGATCCAACAGCCACTGATGACGGGGCCGCTGTGCTTACAGTAGACGCACTATCCCTAGCCCTTTGTTCCCACACCTGTTGAAGAGCCCTTGAAAGCATCGCATCCTTCGGACACAGGCGGCCAAGATCAGGCCGGGGCTTCACAGAGGAGGCGCTCAGGGCAGAGATGTCTTCGTCGACGTCCGGGTCGGGAGCGTCGTCCTCATCATCATCGTCATTGGCCTGGGTGGCCAACAAAGGTTTCCACCTTCCCCAACATCCACCCTGTCAATTGTAAACCAAAGAGAGATTTGGGATGATGCCCGGCTCCACTCTGAATAAGGGTGACTGTGTGTTGCAGCAGGGCTACCTCTGGTTGTAGGGCAGCTTCAGGTAAACCAAGTTCCAAAATGGCATCGCGAAGTTCATTCAGCTGCTTCCTCTTGGAACACTTGGCCCTTTTCATAAGCCTCCTCATTCGACTAACCTTGGATACACCCGGGCTACACGGTTTTGGGCTTCAACGGGTTTGGTTTGGATTGCGTTTTCTGAAAGAAGGTACCCTTCATCACTTGTTTTACATATGAAACTTCCACCAACCATGGCAAGCAACTAGTTTGACAACACCTTTGGCTGTTTTCATGGCCCATTCGTCGCAAGCCGGAATGGACGAGCGCAATCCTTTTGGCCATAGGCCCCCTTGATCAAAAAAGAGCAAAATGCTTTTCTTGATTTCATATTGGCTCAACCTATAGCTTGCTCCTCCACCCCCATAGCGTTTCAATCCTCGGAAGATCGCAAGCACCGCCTGCATGAGGGATAGCGCAAGAGAGAGTGAAGAAGAAACATAACCAGTGCTGTGCATCCGACTTGTAACCTAGTTTTCAGGGAAGGCTGTATGGCGCTTGGGTGCATGCATCACCAAAGATGGACAGCCCAAGCCTCTTTGTTGATGGAGACATCCGAGAGAGTGATAGTACCCCTGGTGAACAATCTCCCAGAATGATCATGGAGAAACCCAAGTCCAGCCTAGGCGAAAGCAACAGGCGTGTCTAAGTTTTGGTGAGACCAAAGTACTCAAAGAAAACAAGTCTCATACAGTCTTGAACCCACACGCCCCCACTCTATTGCCAAAAAACATTTTTCAACTGCTCACTCTCTTCGAAAGCAGCCGCAAAGGCCACATGCCGAGAAGGGTGCTCCCTGAGCACTTTATTGAGCCGACCCATGGACCCTGGCACACCCCAAGCCAAATGGCTGCAGTCCAAACCTCCTGCTCGCAACATAGTGTGGGACTGTCCACAACTCTCCTGGCAAGCCCACCCACGGAAACAGGTTGCACCTTGTATCTTCTTCCAGATTCGATCAGACATAGTTCACCTGGATCAGAGCTTTGACAAGGATAGGATCACGATAATTTTTGGCCATGTTCAATCTCACAATTCCAAATAGGCCAATGCAGGGGAGAATTTGCAAGGTGGCCTTACAAGATTTCACTGACCCTGCCTGCAATACAGACGCCAGCACGTTGGCCTGTGTTTGCCCAGCACCTTTGCGCGCAGGGAAGATGTGTGAGATCTCCACGGGCGCCGCTTGCGACCAAGCGTGGATCCGTGGTGTGGAAGAATTAGCTTCTCCAGGACTAATGTAAAGACACTTTTCCTTTACTGCACTATGCTACATGTTTTCATTGGTGCGCGCATGAAAGCCATGTTGAGATCCACCTGCTTTGCAGACTTCCAACGTTTCACAAGCCAGAAGGAAGTGGTCAGCTATACTAGCAGCATCTAGCAGCTAAGGATCCACAACAGGAAACTAATCAGACAGCGGCGCCTCAATACGTTCGGAGACCATCCATAAAAAGGCACCAGCTGCATACCAGATAGGGGAGCATAGCACCGCAGGCGACAACGCTTTGACAAAGAACAAAGTTGAAACATGTTGAAACAATTAAAAATATGTTTTTGCAATTCAAGATATGTTTTGGCAAGAGCTACAGCTAGAGTAAATGCAGCGCACTGCCTATATATCCATAGGCCTATAGGTAAATATAGTGCTGTACCTGGCTGATTCCTTCCTCAGCTCTCTGAGCTTTCACGTGCTTCGCCCCTGAAGCCCACTTTGGAGCTTGATGCGCAGGAAAACCGGCAGGTTCGAATGCCGATTCAGACGGACACCAACCTGGGTCTGTAAAGCTGGTGGTGTTTAACAACCTTTCTGACGGGTTGTATTTTTAGAGCTTCAACTTTTTCATAGAAATCTTAAGCAGCACAGCTGCACCCCATAGACTCCTTTGGTGGAGAAGGCACAGGAACCAACCAACCGGCCAACCTATACTAGTGTGGCATGTGTGTGTGTGTTTTGTACACCCCCTGCTACCCCAAAATAAACTAAAACGTTCCGCTGACAGTTTTTCTTTTTTGGCCCAAGTATAGCTCTCACAAGCTACAATTTTTTTGACAGCGCATTTGCGCAAAGCAAAGCTAGCTGAAGCAGGGGCCTTTCACGGCCATATGGGTGGTTTTCACGGCCATAGGGTTTTTTCACGGCCATATGGGTGTTTCACGGCCTTTTGGCTTAAGACCAGCGACCAGGGAGTTCTATGTCATACGCACCTCCAGGTTCGCCAAATCTGGTGGTATATATCCGCCGACCCCGGTTGAAGCAAGGGGGAGCGCGTAAGGGAATAGGGAGTTGCCGGCAGGGTCCTACCCTCCGGCTGTGCCATGGAAAACTTTCCAGGGATACAGAATTAGATGGGGAAAAGCTGTGGCGGGGTCAGGTGTTCGGAGGCAGGATGGGTGCAAGAAAGGAAAGAAAAGTGTTTTTTAATAGGGATTCAGAGGGGGCGTTTGGTCTCGAAAGCGCGAATAGGGGAGGCTCGCTGTG